AGTCATGAGTGGGGTAGTTGCGCTCGTGCGGCTTAAGATTCCTCGATGCATAAGAAATAACGCGGCCTTGCTGCATCAGTACACAACCCAAACCATTGCCGGATGCGTCACAATAAACAGTAAACCCCTCGCCCTCAACTAGAAGAGTCAATATAGAAGCGGTGGTAAGAAACTCCTTAAGCCTCAGAAAGCTCCACTCACACTCATCCGACCACACAAACGGAACATCCTGGCGAGTCATCCGAGTCAAAGGCGCTGCTATAGTAGAAAATCCCTCAACAAAACGCCTGTAGTAGCCTGCCAATCCGACGAAGCTACGAATCTCAGTCACAGAGGTGGGCCTGGCCCAATCACGAATGGCCTCAATCTTAGCGGGATCTACCATAATGGCATCCTTAGACACCACGTGCCCCAAGAATGTTACGGACTCAAGGCAAAACTCCCACTTTGAGAACTTGGCATAAAGTCGCTGGCCTCTCAAAGTCTGGAGCACTATCCTCAAATGCTGCTCATGCTCACTCCGGCTCCGCGAGTATACCAGTATGTCGACTCAAGCCAAAACTCACACTTTGAGAACTTGGCATAAAGTCGTTGTCCTCTCAAAGTCTGGAGCACTATCCTCAAATGCTGGTCATGCTCCTCCCGGCTCCGCGAGTATACTAGAATATCATCAATGAAGACTATGATAAACGATTCCAAGTACGGCCTAAACACCCTAGTAATCAAATCCATGAACCCGGCAGGGGCGTTAGTCAACCCAAAAGACATCACTAGGAACTCATAGTGGCCGTAACGAGTCCTAAATGCAGGTATCAGTTTTCGGAATGATTTTAATTGTTGGGGCTGATTTGCTATGTTTTAGCCATCTTTTTGTGCTAAATTTTGGGGTATTAGTTTAGTAAGGTATTTGGGACCTTTTCACGGATTCGTTTCTTTCTTCACCGTCACCTTGTTCAACTGTCTGTAGTCGATGCACAATCGCATAGTACCGTCCTTCTTCTTCACGAAGAGAACTAGGGCACCCCAAAGCAATACACTAGGCCGAATGAATCCCTTATTAACCTTTTGATAGTGGGGAAGCATTCGGAGACCATTCGGAAGGGAAAAGCTTCGGTACTGTGAGTTAGAGCACGCGTGATCGGCTTTCAGGTAGGCTATGGCTTCTCCTTCGTGAGATTGAGCATGTTTAGGCAAATTTTTATTGATTTGCTAGAGTATGGACGGGTTCCGGTGTCGAGGATGCTAAATTTCTATAATTCCTGCCTTAGCCATTATTTCGAGAAATTGTTGAATTATGACAGCATGACTCTTGATATTATTGAACATCCATACCTTGTGGTGTATATGATAATATTGATTTGAAGTATGTTTGGCCTTGGTCTTGGCTAAGACTAGTGTTGCCACAGACTTGCGAGGTTTCAGATGCCGTTAGGAAGTAGAACTTTTTAGTGGTGGAATACCAGGCACGGCTAAAGTAACGGTCTAATGATCAAACAAATCATCAATACGAGGCATGGGGTAACGGTTCTTCACCGTCACCTTGTTCAGCTGCCTGTAGTCAATACACAATCGCATAGTACCGTCCTTCTTCTTCACGAAGAGGACTGGGGCACCCCAAGGCGATACACTAGGCCGAATGAATCCCTTACCCAAGAGATCCTGAAGCTGAACACTGAGCTCCTTGAGCTCTGCAGGAGCCATCCGATATGGCGGAATAGAAATAGGCCGAGTACCTGGCTCAAGCTCAATCGGAAAATCAACATCACGCTCTGGGGGTAGGCCAGGTAGATCAGTAGGAAACACATCTATGAAGTCACGAACAACAGGAACTGACTCAACCGGAGGAACCTCCCTACTCACATCACGTACATAGGCCAAATATGATAAGCATCCGCTAGCCACTAGCCTCCTAGCACGAATAAAAGAGATAACCCCAACTGGTGTGCTACCACGAGATCCCTGCCACACCACCGGAGGAATACCGGGAATGGCTAAGGTAACAGTCTTAGAAAAACAATCTAAAACAGCGCGATAAGGGGATAACCAATCCATGCCCAGAATCACATCAAAATCAACCATGTCAAGCAATATAAGGTCAGCCCGGGTGTCACGCCCCTGGATAGTAACTAAGCAAGATCGAAATACCTGATCCACTACTAAAGACTCACCCACGGGGGTCGACACACGCAACGGCGCTACCAGAGGCTCAGACATCAAACTCAATCGAGAGGCATAGTAGACAGAAACATACGAAAAAGTAGAGCCTGGATCAAATAAAGCCAAGGCGGGCTGCTGGCATAATAACACTGTACCTGTGATCACATCGTCCGAGGTCTCCGCATCTGCTCTAGCTGGAGGTGCATAAAAGTGGGCCTGGACTCCCCTACTCTGTGCATCGGCTCTGCCCCCTAATCTGACTCCTTGGGGACCACCCCGTATACCCTGGTGACCACCCCTGCGGTCCTGTCCCTGGCCTCCGCCTTTAGCTAGAGGTGCTAGCGCATGCCTAGCTGCCTGTGGAGCGGGTAAGGCAAACCTGCGATGGGGAAACCTGCCTCGACTGAGAGCTGGAGTCCGGCTACCCTGGCCAGAAGAGCCTATCTGTGAACTATCTCGGCCCCGACTAGGACCGGCACTAAAACCAATATGGCGGTGCTGATCACCCTCCGATGTCTGGAGAGAGGCCTGGAAGGGGCGACTAGACTGACCCGACTAAAACCTCTGCTGAGATCTATCATAAGACTCTCGGGGTCTGAAACGGCGCCTATCATGACTATCCTCCTGTCTAGCTATCTTGTCGCTACCCCTTGGGCCTCGCGACGGAGCTGCTCAATAGTGCGGACATGGTCTACTACATCCAGAAATGAGCGGCCCGCTGAGACTAAAGACTGAGTCTGAATCCGCAACTGTAGTCTCAAACCCCGAACAAAACAACGAACCCTCTCCTCCTCAGTAGGTAATATCATGGCGGCATGCCTGGAGAGCTCGTGGAATCGGGCCTCATACTCTAATACTGTCATGGAGCCCTGCTCTAACCGAGCAAACTGATCTCTGAGCTGATCTCTGATGCTACTGGAAATAAATCGGGCCAAGAAGGCCTCTGAAAACTCCGTCCATGTGACCGGTGGAGACCCAGCTGGCCTGGTCTCTAAGTATGTACGCCACAACTGCCTGGCGGGACCGTCTAACTGGTAAGCGGTGAAGTCTGCTCCTCTCGACTCCACTAAACCCAAAGTCTGTAGCCGCCCTCGGCAAGCAACTAGAAACTCGTGGGCATCATCCCCCACTGCCCTAGAAAACCTCGGCGGTGATAGTCTAAGGAACACCCCGAGCATCTTCTTCTCCCGAAGTGGCATGACGCCCTCCAACTCGTCAGGCTGAACAACCGGTGCCGCTAGCTGCTGAACAACCGGTACCGCTGGTGTAGGCTTGCCCTGCGGTACTGGAACGGCTGGAGCTGGGGCCTGCTGCATACCCCCAATGGCAGCTAGTATCTGTACGAGCATCGCCTGTATATCTGGAGCTGCCACAGGCTCTGGCGGTGGCTGGGCTGGTCCCGGGCCCATCGGCTGCTGCTGCGCTGGAGCTGCTGGTGGCTCTATCACCGGCTCCGAAGTTTGCTCTCGGTCCTGGGCTGGTGCTGCTCGAGGTCGGCCTCTACCCCTAGCTGGGGTCCTACCACGCGTGCGAGCCACCATCGGTTGCTGCTGTGCTGGAGCTGCTGGTGGCTCTATCACCGGCTCCGGAGTTTGGTATCGGTCCTAGGCTGGTGCTGTAGCTCTAGCACGACCTCGAGGTCGACCTCTACCCCTAGCTGGAACCCTACCACGCGTGCGAGCCATCCCTGTAAAGGAGTGGAACAAGTAAGATTTTCAGAAACCAATAAGACACACAATGCACGACAGTGATACAAAAGCGACACATTCCTTAAGACATCCTGTAGCCTCCCGAAGATAAGTAACAGACGTCTCCGTACCGATCTGCAGGACTCTACTAGACGTTAGCTCTGTACAAGTAAGACCGACGAACCTGGGACTCTGATAGCAATTTGTCAAGGCCCAATTTCTCAGGTCCTGATGGCGCTTACTAAGACGTTAGCTCTGTACAAGTAAGACCGACGAACCTGGGACTCTGATAGCAATTTGTCAAGGCCCAATTTCTCAGGTCCTGATGGCGCTTACTAAATGACCCACCAGTAGGCAAGCCGACCCATATCCCGGAACTCGAAGTAATGGGATGTTAGGGTAGAAAACAACCAATCAACCTAAAATAGTAATAAATATAACAAGAACATGCAATGAACGGGAAGAAGAGACTAGACCTCTATACACAAAACGAATTCCTCCCAAAACCTGGAAGTCACAAGTACAGAGCTGCTAACAAAAGTACAAGTCCTAAAAGTGGACCACAGAAGCAAGCTGTTTCAAAAGGAAAAAGAAAAGAAGTAAGTACAGAAGGAGACGGGCAAATCCAGGACGTTGTGTGCTCACCCTTGCCTCCGATCATAACCGTAGCTGGCTCGAATCAACGTCGGTAGCTAGTACTCGGACCTACATCACGAAAATAGATGCAGAGTGTAGTATGAGTACCAAATCAACAGGTACCCAGTAGGGTCACACTCAAGGGCAAAAGAGTAGTAAATGTGGGTAGAATCTAACTAACTCCGCCGGGCTCCCATAAACCCGACGGGTACGCTCGTGCACAATAAAAGAAAACGCCTGCACGGACCCCCATAAGCCCGGCAGATGCACCGGAATTTGAAGTAAAATAATGGAGCTAGAAGGTCTACCACAATATTACCAATTTCCAGACTTTAACTGAACCATTCCCAATTATATTCCAAGATCTCATTACGTCCCGGACTTTAATCGGAACATCTCCAACCTCCAATACCTCAACTTACAGATGAGAGTTATCATGACTAAACTGAAGCTTCAGTAAGGAATTAGGAATGCACCACGTGCAAGCTGGACCACGGACTAGAACCGGTACTATAGCTAATGAGTCAACCTATATGGGCTGGACCACGGACTCGAACCGGGTGCTTTAGCCAAAGGTCGGGCACGCATGGTTTGGACCAAGGACTCGAACCGGGTACTGTAGCCAAAACCAGATCACAGGTAAGCTGGACCACGGACTCTAACCGGGTACTGTAGCTAAGAATCAATATCCAACCATACGTCGCGGGAAATATCACCAAACCGATTACCATAAATAATCATTTCAGTCCAACCCTCATATACCCCAAATCGCCGAGGAAGTATCCAATAGTGAGTAAGCTAGACCACGGACTTTAACCGGGTACTGTAGCTAAAAATCAATATCCAACCATACGTCGCGGGAAATATCACCAAACCGATTACCATAAATAATCATTTCAGTCCAACCCTCATATACCCCAAATCGCCGAGGAAGTATCCAATAGTGAGTAAGCTAGACCACAGACTTTAACCGGGTACTATAGTCGATAGAAAAATAGTGCATTATGGATACAAGGTCATAAGCTGAGTTACCTCTACAAGGAGCTGACCGCCCGTAACGACGTCGGAAAAAGTTCTGCTGCCTAACGGCATCCGAAACCTCGCAAGTCTGTGGCAACACTAGTCTTAGCCAAGACCAAGGCCAAACATACTTCAAATCAATATTATCATATACACCACAAGGTATGGATGTTCAATAATATCAAGAGTCATGCTGTCATAATTCAACAATTTCTCGAATTAAGGGCTAAGGCAGGAATTATAGAAAGTTAGCATGCCCGACACCCGAACCCCTCCATACTCAAGCAAATCAATAAACAATTACCTAAACATGCTCAATCTCATGAAGGGGAAGCACGAGACTACCTGAAAGCCGATCACGCGTGCTCCAACTCACGGTACCGGAGCGTTTCCCCTCCGAACGGTCTCCAAATGCTTCCCCACTATCAAAAGGTTAATCACCTCGTCATTACAAATATGTTGACACCAAAATTATATTTTTCGGAGACGGACCCAAAATTGGGTCTAAAACGGGATTGTGGGACCCACAATTGGAATCCCGAAAACGAATCCGTGAAAACGTCCCAAATACCTTAATAAGCTAATACCCCAAAATTTAGCACAAAAAGATGCCTAAAACATAGAAAATCAGCCCCAACAATAAAATTCATTAATAAGTCTTGACTTACGACTTGGCAGCCCCTTGATCACCAATTTCTGGAAAAACGAGACCCTTCCAACCCAAACAGATTATACCACGACGATGCTTGCAAAAAACTCTACAAGTTAGCCTCAAGAATGACTCAAAACGGACCTAAGATGATCAAGATCTAACCTTTCAAAGTTCAACAACAATTCATTCCGAAAATCACTCTAGAAGTAGCTAAATTCGATTCCTTATCTCAAACAAAGCCTCACCTCGCGTTTATGAGCTCACCTCTAGATTCCCCACGAAATTCTCTTGAAATTAGCCTTTTGAATCACCTAATTTGAGCTTAAAATGGAGGAGATATCTATGTTTGAAGATGAGGAAAACAAAATGGACGAAAATTGTCCTTAAATCTGGAAATTTCCAGATTACAACACGCTGGCACGTGGTGTCGCGTGTCTCTGTCACTTCACCACCGCGTTAGAATTCAACAACTCTTCAAACTTAAATTTCGATGTTCCGGACTCGTTTGGAGTCGGGAAAACACAAACCATATATGGAATCTGATTGGAAATGATATTTCGGACTCAACGGTGAAGTTGAAATTTTCATTGGAGATCGCTTCGATGAAAAATGGGTCCCACACCCAGTATCGTTTTGAGCCAGATTCCAAACAGGCATCTAAAGCCTCGGAAAGTGAACAAAGGGTCGTCTAGACCAAAATCGATATTCCAAAGCTAACCTAGCTGTCAAAATTTTCATCTGAGCACGTCTTCCAAGAAGGTTGACCAAAGTCAACTTTTCAAGTTATAAAATACTCCAAAGCAGGGAAATGGGCCTAAAACCCAAACGAATGACCAGGCGACCGAACAGTCAGTGCCAGCAAGTCATAAATGACCTGGGGTCGCTACAGGAACGCTCTAAACGATGGAATGAATGCTTTAATTTAAAAATGACCTGGAGGGTCATTACAATATCCACTACTAAAAGAACTTTTGTCCGCGAAAATAAGAGTCAAGAAGTACTTGAAGGCTCAAATAAGCCGGGGAACTGCGCCCGCATCTCATGCTCGGTCTCCCAGGTAGCCTCCTCAACTGGACGATGTCTCCAATGGACCTCAAGGGGAACTGTGCCCGCATCTCATGCTCGGTCTCCCAGGTAGCCTCCTCAACTGGACGATGTCTCCAATGGACCTGTACCACAGGAATGGCTCTGGAACGCAACCGTCTGACATCTCTGGCCAAAATAGCAACTGGCTCCTCAATGTATCTCAAATTGTCGTCCAAGTCAACTGCATCATACTGAATCACATGGGACTCATCTGGAATATACCAGCGCAACATCGAAACAAGAAAAACTGGGTGAATAGCTGAAAAAGCCAGGGGCAAAGCTAACTCATATTCGACCTCCGCAACTATCCTCAATATCCCAAAAGGACCTATATACCTGGGGCTAAGCTTGCCCGGCCTCCCAAATCTAATTACACCCTTCATGGGCGACACACAGAGGAATACTCTCTCACCAACAACAAATTTCAACGGTCGACGCCTACGGTCTGCATAACTCTGATGTCTACTCTGGGCTGTCCTGAGCCTATTTTGAATCACCCTCACATGATCTAAAGCCTCTCGCATCAAGTCTGTATAGCGCAACCTGGGCTTTGTAGAGTCAAACCAACCAACTGGAGAGCGACAATGCCTACCATATAAGGCCTCGAATGGGGCCATCTGAATACTCGAGTGGTAGCTGTTATTGTACGCAAACTCTGCCAAAGGAAAATACTGGTCCCACTGACCCCCAGAATACATAACACAAGCTCGCAACATGTCCTCAAGAACCTGAATCGTGCGCTCCGACTGACCATCAGTCTGCGGGTGGAAAGCTGTACTAAGGTCAACACAGGTAGCCAACTCATCCTGGAAGGTCCTCCTGAAGCTAGATGTGAACTGTGGGCCCCGGTCTGGGATGATGGAAACAGGCACACCATGAAGACGAACCACCTCTCGAATGTAGATACGGGCTAACCTCTCAGCACTGTAGGAAGTATGGACAGGAATGAAGTGTGCTGACTTGGGCAATCGATCCAGGATGACCCAAATACTATCAAGACCACGGGAAGTCCCGGGGGTAATCCCTACAACGAAGTCTATGGTGATCCTCTCCCATTTCCACTCAGGAATGGGTAATCTCTGAAGCTTGCCACCAGGCCTCAAATGCTCGGCCTTAACCTGCTGACAATTCAAGCAACGCGATAAATAAACCTCAATATCTCTCTTTATGCCGCTCCACCAGTAGTGCTGTCTCATGTCCCGATACATCTTAGCTGTCCCCGAATAAATAGAATATTTGGAGTCATGGGCCTCGGTAAGAATCATCTGAATCATACCCCCAAATCTTGGAACACAAAGTCGATGACCAAATCTTAAAACCCCATCTAAATCTAAGGTAGCCAGGCCGGTGTCACCTCCCAAAAATCGATCTCGAAGTGCCACTAAGTCCTCATCCTCAAACTGACGGCTGCAAATCCGATCCGGTAGAGATGACTGAGCATCCACATAAGCTAGTACAC